TAAAAAGTTTAACTAAGTTTTAATAAAGATAGAAACATGACTTTATCTTAATATTTTTAAAATATAAAAAAAGTATAACTTCTGTTAAATGTTGTCAAAAAACTATATTCTTTTCTAAGACAGTTCAGAAAAAATAATGTAATAATAATAACTTTACTTTAATTATTATAAAAAAGATAAATCTTGTCTGTAAGAATTCTGTTTGAAATACAGTATTCTAAATAAAAGATTATGACAAGACTGCTAAAGTGAAAAAAAACATTATTTTATTGTATATTTAACTTTATATTTAAAACTATTTTTAATAATCTGCTTTAATTTTATATACTGTATTTGATTTTAATTTTAGTATGTTTTTTTTTTAAATTCTGCAATCATTCTTCTAAGTTCGAAGATTTTAACACTCTTTTTTCTAAATTTTGTTATTGTAATAACAAATTTAGAATTTAATTCTTATAATATATTGATTTCAGATAAATTTTTAACCCTATTATTTTGAACTTGCATATTCGATACTAATTTATAGCTTTATAAAAATGTTCTTATTAGCCATGTTTTGGAAATGTTTTTTTGTTAGTTAATTCAATTAATTTATTTTTGTGCAAAGATATTTTTCAAGGTAATCAAAAAAAATCGATAACAATCAATAAATAAATTCACGAAATACATATGTAAAAGTAAGCATAATTATGTATACAATGAAATCAGCCACCAGGGCCAGCTTTATTAATGTAAAAAATACAGGATTGTAAAGTTGCAATGCTCTGACGTTCTACAGTACTTAAACAGATACTACTCCCAAAGTAATTTTTGTTTTCAAGCTCTTCCACTCGTCTTTTTAAGTTTTCAATTAATGATTCCCAAGGTTCAGGATAGTGGGTCGTTCAAGCTTTCTTTTTTTACGAATATACATAAGTTCTATCTTATATTGATTACACTATACAGAGATAGATATTTATACTTTAAATTCGTATATTTTAAAAAAGTTTTATGTATAAAAAGCCAGCCAGGTCAATTTTAAAACTAAATTTTCGATTTTACTATCATTAGATGTCACATTTTAAAGAGAAAGTGATATATAAATCAACCAATAAGAGCATGGGGACGATTAAAGACATTAGCATAAAATCACCACAAGATCATCGAGATTTATGAAAGAATTCATTTATTCTTAATGGGCGCGCCAACAGAAGAAGCAAGTACAGAAACGGCCAAGCATTCGGAAACGGACACAGTAAACGATGCGACAGTAATAAATAAAACAACGAAAACCCAAAAGCCAACCACACACCGTATAGCTCTTGGAGATGTCACAAATAATAATTTAGGGCAACTTAAACGGTTAAATATTGTTCTTTTCCCCGTAAGCTACAGTGAAAAGTTTTATAAAGATGTACTAGAAGTTGGAGAATTTGCTAAACTTGGTAAAATAGAAAGTTATTATTCTTATTATTCTGTTTAAAAATTGATCAAAAAAATATATATATATATATATATTTTTTTTCACGTATTTAATATTAAAATTTAGCATATTTCAACGACATATGTGTTGGTGCTGTTTGTTGTCGAAGAGAATCAATCCCAAATACTTCGCCAGAACAAGCCAAACTTTATATAATGACATTGGGAGTTTTGGCGCCTTATCGTAATCTCGGAATAGGTATTAAGTAATGAATAATTGATCACGCGAAGAATTAAAAAAAAGAGTAATTGAGAAAAAAAAAATTTTTTTTTTTTATAACATTTAGGCACAGCTTTGCTAGAACATATTTTACATCATGCAACATCGGGAACAACAAATAGACAGAAATTTACTGAGATATATCTTCATGTTCAAGTTTCGAATGAAGAAGCATTAGCATTTTATAAAAAATATGATTTTGAAATTGTAGGAACAGTGGAAGGATATTATAAGAAAATATCACCATCAAACGCGTATGTGTTAAGTAGAAAATTGGTGAAAAATCAAGACATCTAATGAATTTTATTAAATATGTTAGCAACAATGATGTGAATTGGCAAAATTTATCTATAAATGAAATGTAAATATGCATAGAAATTTCGGGATATGTATGAAATAAAAAAGTAAATTGAGTTTATTACTCGTTTATTGCATGATAAGAACGATAAGAGTTTTTGAATTGTAAGAAGCTTTAGAGCTAGAACTGTCTTAATGCAAAATGTTATACAAATCACGAGATTGCACGTGCATGTTTTCGTTACACGAGCCCTCATTAACGCGTTTATACTTTCTTTAATCCATAACGATAATAGCGAGGTAACATGCAAGGTGAATAACAGGTGATCGTGATTAATGCCAACACTGTATAAGGACTGGTATCGGCAAAAACATGGTCCTTATTGTTTAATGGCCAGAACTTTTTGGTCGCCTTCTTAAGAGGCTAGAAGACTAGCCTTTTTGATCTTTAAAACTAAAGACCAAACTTTTTGCCAACTCGTTAGATAATATTCTTGTACGTTCGCACAGCGCTTGTATAAAGGTTCGAGTAATTCTTTAGTAAAGAATGAATCGATCATCTCAATTAGTAAATACTATAACGTGATGATTTCCTATCCTAAATTGCGCAGGTATATGCGTTGCTCTTCCTTATGATGATTCGATTATTTATTAGACGAAGGAATAAAATTCTCTTAGCCGTTAATTATTTAGCCGTCTTTGGCTGATTAATTCAGCCGGCATTAATACCATTCTCGTATTATTTATATTAAATATCATTGGTCATTTCGCACGTTATTTTACTATCACTAAAATTCTTTTTTTTGTGCCTATTTCTTAAGCTATAATAAAACATATACGGTACAAAATCAATTATATAAGGTTAATTATTGTCCGGAGGTTTAGTCATAGTGATACAAAATTTTCGTTTTCGATGCATCAATAGTTACGTTTTTGGTTAAATCATTAGTTGTCTTGTCTTATCAAGAAAAAATTACTCCGATATCTGGATGTGAAATTTTCATATCGAAGTAATTCTAAGAAAGCTAGCAATCGTATTTTGCAAATCGTCCGAGTTTCTGATTCCTAGTAATAGAATCTTCATGATATTATAACATGTAAAATTAATACCTGGATAATTGTAAAGTTGTAATCTATTTTATAATAAATATAATTAATGCCGTAGATGATGCTGAAATTTGGTCTCGATTTGAAAATATAAGCCTTTCAAAATCCACATATACTTTTTTATATCCTAAAAAAGCCAACAAAAAGACCAAAAATTTTAAAACAAAGTAGATCCAAATTTTAACATCATCCAATTTCCGCATAATCCTCAATGTGTAACTTATGTAAATCAGACGATATTTCTGCACGCAAGAGAACCAAAAACAAGAAAATATGCAATCACGACTGACAATAAAGCAAATAAGAGACCAATATAAAAAAATCCAGGACGCTTATAATATTGTCATTTTAATTAGTACCCAAAGTTTCAATTTACTTTTTTAATGTTTTCATAGTTTCTAGGTTTGTTCCATAAGAATTGGGTATATAGTAAATTAGTACTTTATGAGACAGACATGCGGAAATCATGATAGTACGTACGGTTTGTAAAAGAAAAATTCTTTTAATTTTTTCATTTTCTTATAACCACACACGAAAAAAAGAACAATGCTCACGCTTGTCATAACCCTAACCATCAAACTTCCTTTTCGAAGATGTGACGAATCACAAACAAGGAATGCGACAGGTTTTGTCGATCATCTGCATAGATTGATCGGTAATTTTAAAGTTAGTATTAAAATTAGGGTTAGATTGGGTTAAAAAAGAATTTAGAATTAAAAGCAGATGCCAAAATTATGAGAAGAATTTTTTTGTTAGGGCACAAAAAGTGCAGTTTCATAGGCGACATTTTAAGATAGAAAGTTAATTTTGTCGACCATGATCGATAAAGCCTGGCACAGATTTCTCGCTTGCTGACGAATCATCGGTGTGGCGAGTAAGCATTGACTAAATAATTATATTAACTAATGCTTATTAACCACACCAATGATTCGTCACATCCTTGTGCTAAAGACTTATAACAATTAATTTTAGAAACTATGTTAACCGTACGTACTATCAAAACTTTGCTCAATTTTCGTACATCCGTACAATTGTACAGTATTACTTTACTAACTACCTATAAGAACTTTATGGTTAAGCAAATAGTCTGAACTAATATTTTGGGTCGTTCCTGATTCATGGTCCAGATTGTAAAGTAAATCAGTTATTAAATTCTATACGTACGTGCATACATTGTTTCACAAAGACGACATAGCATGGATCAGAGTTCCCAAAACCAAACCAGTTTCTTTAAAGATCCATTCTGTTGAGAACGATGGTTAACTCCTAATTAAGGAAATTGAGGATGAATCATAATTCGTTCATAACGTTTAAAATCATATCGATATCGATTATTTCGTAATAAAAATGTATACGTACGCGGTAATCAAACTTTTTACGTAATTTAAAAATAAGTTTTATACAGTACCGGACAGTAAAACGCATCCACCCATTTAATTTATTATAACTTTTTTAAAACATGCTAAATCAAAAACCCTTGGACAAATTGATAGTTTTTTAAGAAGTTATATGGAGCTAAGGATTACGTTTAATATAAAAGATGGAAAGATATAGATTTGTTTAACCAATCAAAATTGATTGCGCTTTATAGTATAGAATGGATGTCTGACATTTGAATTAAATTGAGTTACAGTGTTTTTTTAATGTAACATATATGTTTTATGTATATATGATACGATACGTATCGACATGCACTTTATTTATGCCTTATGATTTCATCTCTGGTGATAAGTCCCAAAATGTAAAATCAGATCTGAATCGAGAAAAATATATCTGATCAGATTGATGTAACATGAAAATTTGACATTTGAAAAGTAGATCTTAAATGAAATATATATTGAATGTCGTTTAGATAAAAGCTTGGAAACCCCAAGTTTTTTATTTGACGACATTTGACCTTTTTTTATATGTCAAAATGTCTCTCGTAGAAGGTTTATCTCATATTACATTGGCCACTTCTGCCATTGAAAAATATGAACAATGTGTAGAGTTTTATTCCACTTTTGGCTTTCAAACCATTTCTCAAAATGTTCCGCCAAATTCTAGTATAGTAGAAATGGTTCAAAACAGGTCAGAACAAGAAAAGTTGCTACACCTATTTGCTAAACCTCCTGCCACCCCTATCACCTTGAAAATTGTATTGTCAAAAAACGCGACTGTAAATGTGGCAGTGCCTGAAGACAAAGATTGGAGACTAGAACCCGTGTCAATCGCAGTTGTTTCTAAGAATATTGAAGTATGTTTTCAATTTTATATACTTACCGTAAAATCTCAAAATAACAGGCATGGGCATTATTTCGAATTTTGGCCGGCATTAAGCTTACTTCGGGCCAAATTCGGAATAACACCCATGCCCACTATTTCGAGTTCTTACGGAAATTAAATCGTTTATAGTGATATTCAAAATCTCACCTTTTCTATGGGCTAGAATTTTTTGATCTGGTTTTATTTTTTATATAATAAATCCAAGCTAAATCTAAATCTGGATTTAAAATATAAAAAATAAAACAGATCAATCTAGCCCTTGCTCTTTTTTTTATAATCAAGAGTGTGATATCAATCTTAGATTCTTCAAATTTATGTTATAAAAAATATACCTATCCTGGGTTCGATCATTCATATCATTTTGAAATATCACCTGATTTGGTCCACATTGAAATTTATACCCATGATCCTTTAAACAATTTGATTTGTTTCTCCAATAAACCATTTCCATTCGACAAGACTTTACATCCTGTATCTCCCGTAAAACCATCCATGCTTTCTCCTTCCGATAATAAACCAAAGTTTACCAAAAAGAGAATAGGTTTATTGACAAGTGGGGGTGATTCTTCAGGTATGAATGCTGCAGTTAGATCAATTGTAAGAGTTGCAATTTCACGTGGCTGCGAAGCATACGCAATCTATGAGGGCTATGAAGGTATTAATTGTTATTTAAATTTTGGAAATGTGTGAATGTTTATAAATAATAAAAGGCTCTCGTCTTTTTGAAATTACATAGGACTAGTACAAGGTGGTGACATGATAAAAAAATTTAGTTGGAGTGATGTTAGAGGATATCTCTCTATAGTAGGTTAATTCTATACTTTCAACTATTAATTTAATCGTTGATATATTTAAATCATTTTTATATCATAATTATAGGGTGGTACGCTTATTAGAACTGCTCGTTGTCAATCGTTTCGTGAACATAAAGGTAGACTAGAAGCTGCATATAATTTAATTAAAAACGGAATCGATGCCTTGATTGTTTGTGGTGGTGATGGTACATTAACCGGTGCCGATACTTTAAGATCTGAATGGTCTGATTTGACAAAAGAACTTATCCAGACTGGTAATGTATGAAATTTAATAATAATAATAATAATAATTATTATTATTATTATTATTATTATTATTATTATTATTATTATTATTATTATTACAATTTATTGATTATTCATTCTGCTCGTATTTACTTATTATACGATTTCTCATAATATTAAATAGGTAAATTAACTGCTGAAGAAGTCGTTCCACATGCGAATCTCACTATAGTTGGTATCGTTTGTTCAATTGACAATGATATGGCAAAAACTGATATTACCATTGGTGCCGTGACTTCACTACATCGTATTTGTGAGGCTGTTGATAGCATTTCATCTACAGCTTTTAGCCATTCTCGTGCTTTTGTCATTGAAGTAATGGGAAGACATTGTGGTTGGTTGGCTTTAATGGCTGCTATTAGGTATATAATTATTTACTTAAAAAACTCTTTATATTTCAAAATATAATATCTTAATTATATTTAATGTAAAGTACTGGCGCAGATTATGTTTTTATTCCTGAGCGTCCACCAGAAGCAAATAAGTGGAAAAAAGAAATGCTTGAATCATTAGAAAGGGTATTATTTTAATTATTTACTATAAGAAAATATAAAAATTTCTGATAATATATATATATATATATAATAGCAACGCGAAGCCGGTAAACGTAACACTATAATAATCGTAGCTGAAGGTGCCATTGACGATAATCTAGAGCCCATCAAGTGTGATGATATAAAAAAACTCTTACTTGACGCGAAAATTGACACAAGGGTCACTACATTAGGGCATATTCAACGTGGTGGTAGACCATGCGTTTATGATCGGAATCTTGTAAGCCTTCTTTCATTTACTATATCATAATTCAATCTAATTCATATATTGGTTATTATTTAATATATTTGTTATTTACGTACAAAATATATATATATATATATATTTTTAAACAGGCTACCCTGCAGGGAGTTGAAGCTGTAGAAGCAGTTCTTCGAGCAACGCCAGATACGCCATCTCCAATGATTTCTGTAAGGGAGAATAAAATCATGTCTGAACCGTTAATGGAGGCTGTTGAATTGGTTAGACCAAATTTATGTCTTTAATTTATTTTATCCTTTAATTTACTTTATGTTTTATGTTTAAAAACACTCGTTTTTTTCTTGACATTTTAGACCCATCAGGTCACTGAAGCTATTGCAGAAAAGAATTTTCGTAGAGCAATGGAGTTGCGAGATCCAGAATTTGCCCAAGGTTTCAATTCATACTTGTCTACGGCCTATATGAAAAATAAGGCATCGCTACAACAAAATCATGTTTGTATTTTTGATTATAAAATTATTAAAATTTCTTGAAATTTTTTTTCTTGAAATTTTCTCTTGAAATTTTTGTTTAGTAACCATTATTGACTATGCTTAACAATTTCTAATGTTTCTATTTATTTTAGAGCCTAAGGATAGGTATAATTCATATTGGCGCACCTGCTGGAGGAATGAATGCAGCAACACGTGCTGCTGTTCGAGTTGCTATTAATCATGGTCATAAACCTATTGCTATATATAATGGGTTTTCTGGTCTTTTACAAGAAAATGTTCATGAACTTAATTGGTTAGATGTTGATGACTGGTCATCAAAAGGTGGTTCAGAACTTGGAACAAATAAAGCTGAAGCTGATAATTTAGGTTTAATCGCATATCAATTACAAAAACAAGGAATAAATGCCTTACTTCTTATTGGAGGTTTCGAAGCATATACATCCCTTATAAAATTAAATAATGCTAGGGATAATTATCCTGCTTTTTGTATTCCTATGGTGTGTATTCCTGCCACTATTTCGAACAATGTTCCAGGTACTGAATTTTCATTAGGCTGCGACACAAGCTTGAACGCTATAGTTGACAGTTGTGATGCCATCAAGCAATCTGCATCCGCTTCTAGAAGGCGTGTATTCGTTGTAGAAGTACAAGGTGGTCATTGTGGTTATTTGGCTGTGATGTCTGGTCTTGCGGTAATAAACTTATTATATCTTCTAGTTTTTGTTTCTTATTATTCTTTTTTTTTTATTGATATAGATCTTTTTTTTTTCTATAGGTTGGTGCTACAAATATATACGCTCCAGAATATGGTTTATCCCTTGAAACTCTTCAGGAAGATGTGAATCATCTTATTCGTAGATTCGGGGCAGATAAAAAAAGTACTAGTTCTGGACGTTTATTCCTTAGGTAAATAATTATTATTTGATCATAACTTTTTTAATTGTACTAAATATTAATTTTAATATATAGAAATGAATCAGTATCGAGCACATATACAACAAATGTTATTGCAAACATCATAAAGACTGAAGGTAAAGGGCTTTTCGATTCACGAACTTCTATTCTGGGTCATATTCAACAAGGTGGTGCACCTTCACCAATGGATCGAATTCGCGCAAAAAAGTTTGCTGTGGAATGCGTATCCTTTTTAGAAAAACATGCTAAATTTTCCGGATCTTCTGGTAACTCCAAGTACCCAAAGGTTTATACAAAAGACAAAGAATCTGCTGCTGTCATTGGAATTACTGGTGCTCAAGTTGTTTGTACGGTATGTTTTGTTCATTTAAAATAATATATTTCTTTTTAAAAAAAATTAAGTTATTCATGCTACTTTTTTGTTTTTTTTATTAGCCTGTAATTGATTTGCAGTCAGATACTGACTTTGAGTGTCGTAAAAGTAAGAAAGCGTGGTGGCTCAATGTGAAACCTTTGGTGGAATTATTATCAAAATGGGGTAAGACATTAAATATTATATCTAATTTACAAAGCACGTATATACTAACTTGTTTTTAATCTTTTTCTTTGTTTATAGGATATTCGGATAGTGAACCAATAGAGGAAGATATGAATATTTGTGGGGATTCTATTGGTCCGGAGTAATACAGTTTTGTTAAGCAAAGATCATTTACAATTATATATTTAATGTACACTATATATTTTTTTTCTTTTTGCTTCTTTTTTACTATATTTATTAAAGCTATATGCGATAAATTAATTTTAGCCATTTTAACTTGCTTAACTGATAATTTATATGCGATTTTCATAATCTGTAATATATACTTTATCGTTATTAATAAATTAAAACCAAATGCATTATAAACTATAGCGATAGATTTAAGGTCTACCTCGTGTTGGCAATCCGTAAATTTGAACCGGATGATACATGGGTTCCACAAATGCCGGCACGCACATAATGCCAAGCATGGGTATGAGCATTATAATTTAATAGTGTGTGTGCCGGCACTTGCAAAACCTTAGTCATAACAGATAACCAGAGTTTATGTAGCAGATAGTAGATTTGTATACTTATTTGATATATATGAGAAATTTTTTTTTATTATCATTATAAAAAAAAAAAAACTTTACATTAGTTAGTGTTTCGCGAATCCAATCCGAATTATGACCCGACTTACCGAATATGGTTCGGATTCACGATTTATAAGATTCGTCGAATCAAGTTCCACTTAGCGTTAGTAAAAATAAATATCCATGGTGGTTATTCATCGAATATTAGTCATTCATGGTCGATATTGAATAAACATCTGTTTTATATAGATATCCACCGAAGTTCTAATATACGTTGTAACAGATTCAATTCAAACAACCATTAAAAATTATTCCTTAAACTGTATTTCAGACAAATTTGCTTGGAAAATTAAATTGTATTTAGTATTTTTTAAATAAAATAATAATTTATTTTAATTTTTTTTTTTTTTGATGTTAAGGTGATCTCTTGGGTTTTTTGATTTTATTTAACAATGATAAATGTGGTTTAGTGAACCACTACAGGAAGAGCATACAATTGGTTACATATGTAATTTTCTATATTACCTATTTAAGGAGTCTGCCTGAAGGTTTCTACCAATTGTTATACCTAACCTCTCTGCTTGGGTATTTTACTTTAAACCTTCTGAACCTGCAAACCTGTTAAATTCATTGGATTATAGCTGAAGCTCAGATTATCATCTCAACCTTAGGATTATTTTATTCTTGAGATAAACCTTTCAGAACCTTCCATATCTATTTTTATAGTTAACTTAGATATTGCTATGGCTAAACCAACACTTGTGATTAGAACTTAACTATTAAACTGCTATGCTCTTATAGAATTCATTTAGATTCTAACATCTACTTTACAGCATAATTCTGATACTTTAGTATACACTTATTTTTTTATTAAATTTTCAATTCAAATAATCCATGTAAGACTATAATCAATCCATTAATATATCAGGTTAGTCTAATATATTTTTCTTTCAGTTCATTCTAATGGTCTAGTTGGTGGTATTTCTGAGACTTCTAACTTAAAAATTCTTGTCTGTTTGGCTATTATGACTGAGTACTACAATCTTGGTATCTATTTTTTCAGACTAGTCTTTATAGTAAGGCTATTAAAGATTCAACTACCTCTTTATTCAGGTTTTCCCAAATGGATTTCTTGTTATCCAATTTCAATAGATTTATATAGTCACCAAGACTTATTTAATGTTTGCATTATCTGATTTGTCAGTTTGCATTTATCTATATAACTCTAATATTATACAAATGTCCAGTTATGCTGATGTAACTGTTATTACAGATATTCTAAGCCAATTATTAGTAACAGTTGTCATAATATGAATATTATATAGATAATTTATCTAAATTTTTATTGTCAATAGAATTTGAACACCCAATCTACTACTTAGAGAATTGACAATCTGACCACTTTACTAGCTTGTTACATCTCTAAAATAATAATTTATTAATGATATAAAATATATTTTACTTATAAAATATATTCTTAAAAACATATTTTATAAATTTTATTATAAAAGTTTTTCAAAACTTAAATAACTCTCCCTGACGATCACTCGTACCGAATTTTTTACAAACGACGAGCAGAAATTTGTTAGAAAGAAAAGGAA